ATGTTATGAATCTTGAATTAAGAATTAAGGTGATCAATAGATGAAATTGTTATGCTCTAATATTCATCACATATTTGAATTTTCAATTATTCATTGTTTGCAATCATTTTATATTTTCAATTAGTTAAAAGTAGTTAGAAAAAAATAATCACAATCATATAAATATTTACTTTCTTTTGTCAAATAGGAGTTAGAAAAATTAGATTAAATCCTAAAGTATAGTTCTCGTGGGAACAATATCCGGACTCAAATGTTCACTATTCTGCTTGTTATGATATCGTACACTTGCGATATAAAAAATGCAACAATCATCAAGGAATCTTGCATTTCCCATCTCAAAAAAGGTTCTTGTTGAGGGGTCATAAAATTTAAAGTCTATTGATCATTTAGTGTACCTAAGAGTATCTTCAAGAGACTTTTTAAACATAAGATGCTCCCTATTTTAAAGAGTCAACAGTTAAAATCACACTCTAGGAGATTCTTTAAATTAATATTTTAATTTAGAGAGTGGGTTTGACTCTCCAAATTTGGAGGGCTAAACTCACTCTCTATAATTAAATGCATTCAAAGTGTTTCAATTTTCAATGTGGGAAAACAATAAAATAATCTAAAGAAAAACTATTTAAAATAAAAGATAAAACAAAAATAATAAATATTTTTTGAGAATAGTAAAATTAAGTGTTAAATATAAAGATTTTGTTGGAGATGCTCTAAATTTTAACTATCTAAATTTATAGATGCTCTCCAAATAATAGAATATGCTCTAAAATAGAGAGTTTATTGGAGATACTCTAACAAAGTAGTAACTTATAGTTCTTGAGTCTAGCTTCTTTTCATTTGGCTTATCAGGCCTTGTTTCACGTGGACAATCCCAAATGTGTAAATGCCTTAGGGCCTTTTGCCTAACTATAGTTGATAAGGGTTTTTAGCCACCGTTTTACTTAGTACCCTATTTAGAATGTCTGTTACAATTTTTAATGATTCTCCCCAGAGTGACGCCAAATAGGAGAAGTGCTACACATGGATTGTGAAAACATGTTTTCTTCAAAGAAAGAAGAAGAAGATAAAGATAAAAGAAAAAACAAAAATTAGGTTTTAAACCCGTTTCTCACAACACAATCCCCAAATTCCCAAATCAACCCAATAGAAATCAATTTCATTCCTAACCTCATGAAAAACCTTAATCCCTAGGGGCCGTTCTCTTTGCCGTTTTCAAACCGTTTTCTGTTTTCGATTTTCCAAAATACTGAAAACGCGTTCTCTTCCCTATTTTCGAAAACACATTTTTGAAAACAAAAAAAAAAAATTTGTACATAAAACTCAAAACGACCATTTGGTCATTTTCAGTGTTTTCAAGCCAAAAACTCGAAAACGTTCAAAACGCGGAAAACGCTTTACCAAAATTGAACATTGGAAGAATCACAAACAACCTCTCCTCACTCCCCTCTATCACCTCCCATCATTCCACCACCAATTGGAAGAATCAGCAGTTCGCCTCACCGCTGGACTCTACCAACAACAACCTTTCTTCACTCCCTTCTATCACCTCCAACCCTGCAATGTTCGGATTTCTTCCCAGAAGAATGACAGTCTCGAATCCGCACAACAGGGTTCGAGTTTTGCAAATTTCGGCGCCGTCCGACAGTCCCACAATCGTGGACCACATGGGTTAGCCTCCTCTCCACCTGGTGCACCTTGCCCAACCATGGGTCAAGGCCAATTTTACATAAAGGTTTGAATTTTTACGTCGGTGCCTTCATGGAGATCTCAAGATTTTGAATTTTATAGAGATATACAAAATGATTCTGCATATGGGCACCCAAATTCTTTAGGAAAAGAATTTTAAAAATGAATATGTTGAATTTTTGGGAGGATGTATATACTTGGGATTTATC